ATACAGCACTCTGTGAACAGCCAGTTTCTTTGGCAATGAATGTTTGTGGCTTACCCTCCTGGACTTTTCCACGATATTCTAATTTATTGAGATGCACCTGTATCTATTGCATAAATATCAGAGAATGGTAGAGTGGTTGTCTATGGGAAGACCCTAACCTGAAGAAAATGTAATCAGAGTCCACACAAGCTTGCAGAATTAATATCCTGGTTTCAGTTGAGAAGTTTCTTGGTTTTATGATATTCTAATTTATTGAGATGCACCTGTATATAATCATTTAAGTAAAGTGCACAATATTCCTCTTACTGGAGTCAGATCACACTGACTGATACAAGACCGGTGTAGCCTAAATTTAGTTTCTTCTTTGTTGGTCCCAGGACAGTGGCGGCTGGACGCCAATCATTTGGGCTGCAGAGCACAAACACGTCAAGGTGATCAAAGCACTACTGAATAGAGGCGCTGATGTCACCATCAATGATAAGGTAAGTTTTCACTAGTCAATTCTGGGATTAGTGTTACTTTGAAAACTGTTTTTGCTCAATCTTTACAATAGCAGCTCCCTTAAGTTTCATATCAGCTAAACAAAGCTGGAATGGAAACCTGGACACTGATGGAATTTGCCTCATTAAAAATAATTTTATGCTTAAAATATCTCTCTCTAAAATATCTTTTTTTTTTTTTTTTTATTTGAACATTTGTGATGTCTGCATTCAGCTTGTGTTTTTGATCTCTACTCCAGTTTAAAAGTGATCTTGACATTATGTAAAAAATATACTGTATTTTAAATGGTAAGTGGAGAAACTGCAGAAAGACCACAACTTTCTTTGCTCTGGGGCTCTACTAACAATTGATTAATAAATGAATTGTCCCAGCTCAGCCTAGATTGCTATTATTGCTTCTGTTGGAAATCTTAAATACACCTTAAAGGACTTTCCATGACTTCTGGTGTTCCAGTGTGAGAAAATATGGAGTTGTATACGTGACAGAATGGCCTAACCTCTGTAATTTCATGAAAATATTTCAGGTTATTACATCAGACATTCCTTCTTTTCCTCCAGGAGCTGAATGTGTGTCTCCACTGGGCGGCGTATGCAGGGAATGTGGATATTGCAGAACTGGTGTTGAACTCTGGATGTTCGCTCTCTGCTGTTAACGTGCACGGAGACACGCCACTCCACATCGCTGCCAGAGAAGGATACTTGGAATGTGTTACGTGAGTCAATGTCTGCCACACGCTGTACCCTTGTTTAACCTGTGACAGAGCTCAAGGGGTTAATGTAGGAATCACTTTTTCCCTTTGCTTTAACTTGTAGCTACAGCGCCCATGTACTTCTTAACCACCGCTGGTATAATAACTTGTTCCAGCAGTGCAGTTGGGGAGCACATTGGTTGTTTTTACTTATTCAGAACAAGAGACTCTGTAGATCAAAACACAAGAATACAGGGACACAGTTTGTGGGTTATTTGGTTTTAACTGGTAAATCTGCTCTTCACTTCCATATCACAGAGGTTTCAAACTGTGAAGCCCACCTCCCTAATGGGGCACAGAGGGAGAGGCTACAGTACTGCCTGAGGTGAAAGGGACAGGTTCCTGCTGGAACAGTCTTAATCTTAAATGACAGATTGTTCCACAGTAGAGGAGCCATTACCCCAAACGCACAGCCCCCTCTGGGCTTCAGTCTAGACCTCAGAACAGCCAAAAGCATCTGGCTGGAGGATCATTGTACCCTGGAGGGTGGTTTTAACAGCTCAGAGAGGTAGGATGGTGCCAACCCATTGAGTGATGTAAAAACAAACAATAACACCCTTAATTCTCTCCTGTAACAAACTGGGAGCCAGTAAAGAGATGCTAACATGGGGGGGCAGTGTGGTCATATTTACGTTCATCCGTCAACTTTGATTACTTGTTACTGGATTATCAAAGTGATAGTGATAGTTTGTATGTGGTTGATGATAGGGGCCCCAGATTGTCATTTTGAAAACCTCTGCCTCATACAGTCACATTGTGTATTGGATGTTTCTGTTTCTCCTGCAGATTGTTCCTCTCCAGAGGTGCAGACATTGACATCATGAACAGGGAAGGAGACACACCTCTCACCCTTGCAAGGGCTGATACACCAGTGTGGGTCGCACTACAGATCAACAGGAAGCTGCGGCGGGGAATAACCAATCGCATGCTTCGCACGGAAAGAATCATCTGCAAGTAGGTGTTGTGTTGTCAGTGAATCCAGATTTTGTTCTTCTTTGTTGGTTCCTGCTGTTTTTCTGATTTTAATTTCCTGATTTATAACTCCCTGCTCGCTGTTTCAGTGACATTGCACAGGGCTATGAGAATGTACCAATTCCCTGCGTGAATGCAGTGGATGACGAGGGTTGTCCTTCAGACTATAAATATGTTTCAGAAAACTGTGAAACCTCAGCAATGAACATAGATCGCAACATTACACACTTACAGGTAAATCAGGCAGTTAATCGTTTTGACTTCATAATTTGTTCGCTTTTACACAAATGCACACGGGTGTATTATCTGCAGTGTAAAACACATCTCATTCATTTAATTATTTTAGCACTGCAGCTGCACTGATGACTGCTCATCTAGTAACTGCCTCTGTGGACAGCTCAGCATCCGCTGCTGGTATGATAAGGTAAATATAAATGTTGTTTTAAAAGCCACACTGTCAAAGTAACGTAGGCAGCAGGTTCTCACCAAGGAGGAGAATGAGTGGAATAAACGATGTAATCTCTGGTTCTGCTGCATCTGTTTTTAAATGTCTTCTTTAAAGCTGTTCAACAGTATTTTAGCAGTGCGATAAATCAGTCTCACACTCTTAAATAGGGAAACAATCAGTTAACAGAAATTTAACCAGTTCATGTGTATTCCTTATGAGGGTTCACCTCATAGACCAGCAGGCAAAAAGAGTGTTCTTCTATGGGATCATAAGAATCTGTAGAATATAGTTAATAATCTTTGTGGTCAATGACTAGAAGTCACTGATTATACAATAATCAATGATAATTTAGTGTTGAGCTGAAGGAGTGACACTAACCTCAACTTGTTTTGCTTTTTTTGTTTGTTACCAGGACCAGCGGCTGCTCCAAGAGTTCAACAAAATCGAACCTCCACTTATATTCGAATGCAACATGGCGTGTTCCTGTTATCGAACATGCAAAAACAGGGTGGTGCAGGCAGGAATCAAGTCAGTGCATCACATGTAACATTATGATTGTTAAACCTGTACACTACCAGAGATGATAAGGAAATATGAGAGAATACTACAGTAACCAATTCAGCTGATGAACAAGCCTTGTTGTCAATGGCTTCAGGGGAAAACCTGCACATTCTTGGCCCTTGGTGGCAAATACCGCCACAACGAAAACATTTTTCTTGTTGAATGCAACATTGACAAAACACTCATTATTATCACAGATGATTAACAGCACTGCAGGGACACTGAGCTATGTGTTGCAAACCATCTGCCCAATTTTCACCTCAATGTTTGTTTTGAATTGTATAACAAGTATCTGCTCACTCTAATAACTGTTCAGTCTTTTTGGCAGCTACAGTCAGAATCCTT